GTTGAGCCTCCTGTTCCAATGAATTGTTTAACTGTCCACCAGCATTCAGGACTGGATGTGGTAGAACTGCAGAGTTTAGATCGTTCTATCACTTACTGCTTATGCTGTTTGGCATGTATTGTAGCTGCAACAAGATGACACTTCATTTTTAGTATGTGGGTGCTGCTCCTGGCATAGCCTCCTGCACTCTCCATTGAACCATAGTTGATCCCCTGGCTTGATGGTAATGGTTGAGTGGGGGATATGCCAGGCAATGAGTTTATAGATTGTGCTAGAGTTCAATTCTGCAGCTGTTGATGGCCCAGAGTGCCTCATGGATGCCCAGTCTCGAGTTGCTAGATCTGTTCAAAGTCTGCCCCATTTAGCACGGTGATACTGTCACACAAGATGGAGGGTATTCTCAATGTGAAGGCGGGACTTCGTCTCCATATGGGCTGTACGGTGTTCACACTTACCGCTACTGTCATGGGCAAATGCGCCTGCAGATTGATAAGGATGAAGTCAAGTATGTTCTTCCCTCTTGTTGGTTCCCTTACCACCTGCCGCAGACTCTTTCTAGCAGCTACGTCCTTCAAGATGCTGAGGCTGTTTTGGTGATGGACAGCAAAAACCCTTACCAAGGGTATATTTTGTATCCTCGCTACCCTCGGTATTTCCTCCAAGTGTTGTTCAACATGGAGGAAAACTGATTCGTCAGCTGAGGGAATACGGTATGTGGCAATCAGCAGGAGATTTCTTTGCCTATGTTTAAACTGAAGATATGAGATTTCATGGGTCCCAGAGTCAATGTTGAGGACTCCCATGTCAACTCCCTCCCAACAGTATACCATTATGCCACACCCTGCTAGGTCTGTTCTGCCAATGGGACAGGATACGTCTTAGGACATTTTAAGGTATGACCAAGTTAGGCTGTTGCTTGACTAGTCTGTCAGGCAGCTCTCCCAACTTTGGCACTAGTCCTAGATGTTAGTAAGGAGGACTGTGCAGAGTTGACAGAACTGTTTTTGCCATTGTCTTTTCTGGTGCCAAGAGGTCCAGCCGGTTTTATTTGTTTGTTGAGACTTGGTAGCGGCTGATACAAACGGGTGGCTTGCTAGGCCATTTCGGATGGCAGTTTAGAGTCAACTACACTGCCTTGATTTTGGAGTCACACGTAGGCCAGACCAGATGAAGATGGCAGATTTCCTTCCCTGAAGGACATTAGTGAGCCAGATGGGTTTTCTGACAATCGACAGTAGTTTCATGATCATCAGCAGATTCATAATTCCAGATTTTTTTTATTCAAATTCAAATTCTACCATCTGCTGTGGCAGGATTCAAACCTGGGTCCCCAGAGCATTAGCTGAGTTCCTAGATTAATAGTCGAGCGATAATACACTTGGCCATCACCATCCCTGTGGAAAGGCCACACAATTAAGAGCATAGGTTCACCAGAATGGTGTCAGGAAATTTGCCATAAGAGATGAGATACAAGAACAATTGCACTTGTGTAAAGAAGCTTAAAAGTTTAAGGCAGCTTTTCTTAAAAGTTTTTAAAATCATAAATCTTTATAAAGTCCTCGGGCAAGGATGATTTCCTTTGGTTGATGAGTCAGTGGGAAGAAATCAATTAAAAATGTCATTAAAATATTGAAGATGGATTATTACAAATTTATGAGCACAATTACTGGAGCATGGGTTGCTCTGCAGCAGGGAGTAGTTGAAGCAGAGACTATTGAATTCATTAAGGGAAAACAGATAAAGCAGAAAACAGGTATATAATTTGGTTGCTCAACAAAGTGCTGGCACAGACATGATGGGTCAAAAATCCCTGCATTTTAACTGCTACAAAGATGAAGATTGAATAAACTATGAATACCAAACTGAGGTTGTAGATCTTTCACCTTTATAAAAGCTAATGTCACAATTCTGTCAATACATTCCTTGCAAAGCGTGTTCAATTTCAACTAATATGTTCATTTTCAAAAAAACCATCTTCCTTTTACATCAGTCTAAACAGAAAAGCTTCTGTAGTGAACTATAGCATAATAATTGGTATATGTAAGTATAATAATGTAAGGACAGTGTCTTTTTATTTTTGTGTTTTGAAAAACTGTGGACTGAAATGAGAAAAAAAGAAGTTTCCAACAAAAAGAAAATCAACGTTTGAAAGAATGGCTGCAGTTTTGAAAGCAATAAGCCCAATACCCATGGCAGGCATTGTAAACAACTGTTTGAACAAGCAGTTTTCAGACTGCAGACGATCACTCCAAGAGTATGTACTGAGGCAGCTCTTAGAGGCAACAAGAAGTCAATTGATCTGCAGACGAGCAACTAATGAGAGACCTTCTGCTTTTCAAAAATTGAAATGGTTTCCCAGGTAGCTGAGTAACTTGGAGCTAAAAACATAGAAAAAGAAGTATGCAGATCTCTTCCCAGCCCAGAAGCTGCCTGGTCTCTGCATTCAAAACTTAGTTTAAAGCTAAAGAAAACCAGTTACCTTTCCTATCAGCTGTGATTTTTGAACGAATAAATCAGGCATTTTCCAAGTGAATCAGTTACTTCTTACAAACCAGTAGAAGGATGAAGAGAAACATCTCTAAAACAAGCAGTCTAGCCAACTGCAAAATGACCATCCTAACATTAAAACTAGGAAGCAAAGACCCCACCTCTAACTCTCCACATTTTCTACCTCTGTAATTAATCTACTTGACAAGCAATAGGCTTATAATGCAGCCACATATAACGATTAGTTGCAAATCCTTCCAACATATAAGGAGGAAATAAGAAACAGTGATATTCCTGGTCAGCCAGTAGATAGAAAGGAAGACGGAGTCTCTAGTATCATTATCTAAAGCTCATTATCCAAAGCTCTAGATTATGATATGCATTTGATCAAGTACATATCATCAGCACAACGACGCACTGAGTGATCTGTAACACCACCACCACCACCAGTGGCTTCAGAGCAGGCAGATCAACGGTGGACAAGATCTCATCCTTAAGTCAGTTTCAAGGTTGGGAAGAACACCAAATTATGATTGCAGTTTACTATTCTGGATCTCTTAGAAGCATATGACACTAGAAACAATATTATACCCCTACGAGATACCAGAGAAAACTGGTGATCCACCAACGTTCTCAGATTCATCCAACCTCTCCATGATTAGGTTTCCAGCATTATTCAGCAATTATACCATGTCAGTCTGTTTCATGATCAAGAATGGAGTGCAACAGTGCAACTTGGCCCCTAAACTGTTGTATATCCTTTTTATCTGTTCTTCTAAACTACACTTTCCCTACCAACATCAAAGCAATGTACTTCCAGACATGATCAGATGGGAAACTCCTCAACTTATCAAGGATGAAAACCAACCCAAAAGCACATCATGCCCTGATCAGACAATTCCTGATGGCAACAACATGGTGACATAAGTTACAAGCAGCAATTCACTCAGTTCACCATATATTCAGAAGTTCCAAAGCAGATGCAAGTTCAGCAAAAAAGGTGTCAGCGATCATCACACACCACCGACAAGGGACAATTCCTTGTGTGGTACCTGTGGCAGATTTCACCATCCTAGAATCGACTTGTTCGATTATCAAAAGTGCAGGTGACACCATTTAATCTCAACAAATGAGGTTACAATCCCAACATTTTCCTCTTATGTCAAATGATACATTTCCATTGTTTAAGAAATATAAAATTAGAGTGGAGTCACTTACCATTTGTCTAGGATTTTAATACTGTTCAGTATAACGGAACTATAAACTTCTCTTCCACTTCTAACGGATTCCTGCACATTGCTGGCACTGTACCTTTATAGCTTTTCGTTAGCAGTTAATAAACAACCACGCCCCCCATGACAATCAATGGCATTACCATCACTGAATCCCCTATACTGAAGAACCTGGGTGCTACCATTGACAGAAATTGATCAGAAAAAACCTTACAAATACAGTGACTGGGAATTCTTGGGTAAATAACTGAGCTCGACTCCCCAATATCTGTCCACATTTACAAGGCACAAGTCAGGAATGTAGTGGAATACACCCCATCTGCCTGGATAGGTGCAACTCCAAGAGTACTCTAGAAGCTCAACACTATCCAGGACAAAGCCATTTGCTCAATCAGCACACCATTCACCATCTCTAACACCAATGGATATTGACAACAGTGAGTACCACGTACAAGATGCACCAAGGCTCCTTCAAAAGGACTTTCCAAACCCATGACTTCTATCTAGAAGGACACAGGCACCATGGGAATATAACCACCTACAAGTTTCCTTCCAAGCCACACATTATCCTGAATTGAAACTGTGTTGTGCCATTTCTTCACTGTCATTGGGTTAAAGCCCTGGGGCACGCTTTCCAAAAGCACAGTGTATGTACGTGCACCACGTGGACTGCAGTGGTTCAAGAAGGCAGCTCTCCATCACTTTCTTCAGGTCAATAAATGGTGGCATGGTTAACAATGCCAGCATCCAGTGTAGGAAATAAACAAACATTGTCACCATTTACAAGAATCTTCCAAGCTATCTAATAGTTCGATGATTATTGCATCGCATGCTTTTGTTACAATTACCTTGACAGCAGTGGCATCAGGTACTAGGTATACTATTTAGATTGATGGGTATGGTGTTGAAACTAGACAAAAATGCATTATGGCAATCAATGTGGCTACTCTGTAAAAGAGACCACTAGATTTAAATCTTATAAATCATGACTGTATCAAATGAAGGTGTTACAATAAAGACAATGCTGCATACAATTACTTTCCTACATAAATTCAATAAACAAGAATTTAAAACTGGAAACAAAGGAAATTGGTCATTGCAATTGCACAGTTGGTGGCAAAGCTTGCTGTATTCAACAAATATATTTCAGATACAAATGCAGTGATTTTCTTTGTGAAAAGTACAAGTTTTAAAATCAAAATCACTTTCAGCCTGGTTGGTCGAAATGCACTGTACTTTAAAATACAGCATTTTCAATCCAACACAAAATTCCAATGATACTCTACCAACCTGGTTACTTTTCTGTAATTCTTGAACCTTTCTGGCAAACTCCTTGGCTTCCTTCTGGCATTGTTGCTCCAGTTTTTCCACTCTCCTTTGAATGCGTTCATCCAACATCTTCAGCTCCTCAATGTGATTGACAAATTCTTCCAAAAGCCTATTGCATAAAAGTATATTCATCCAATGTTAAATACCAGTTTTCAACCACCATATTAACAATCACTGCTTCTTCCACATTTTAACAACCTTACTGTGGATAAATGTAACGACATTGTGGCCTTGACTGTAGATTGGCTCAAGAGTGGCAAAACAGCACTGCATCCCTCACAACTACCCTGCCTGGCTAGATTAGCCATGACCTGCCTCAACTAAATGACAGCAGTGGCAGTTAGCCAATATCACTACATCAAACACCTGTCTCCCCACTACTACAACTCACTCTTTACTATTCTCCAAACTGCATCCAAATCTCCCTCACTATCTGCTAGATAATGTCCCTCATTTTCTCCTTGAACTTCTGTTATATACCCTCCAGCTGAATTCAGTTTACTAAAATCAAAAGTAACGTTTTCTGCAATTACGACATGGAACTTTTTCCCTCCTTGACCAGTGTGTCAGTGTTTGCATAGTCATTTAGACCATTCTGCTCTAACATCACTGTTCTATCTTGGTCAGTGGGGTTTTCCACTCTTTAATCAACATTACGCTCAGTGGTTAGCACTGTTGCCTCACAGCGCCAGGTACTCAGGTTCGATTCCAGCTTTGGGCGACTGTCTGTGTGGAGTTTGCACATTCTCTCCATGTCTGCATGGGTTTCCTCCCACAGTCCAAAGATGTGCAGGCTAGATGCATTGGCTATGCTAAATTGTCCATAGTATTCCGGGATGTGTAGATTAGGTGGGTTATAGGGGGATGGGTCTAGGTCTGGGCGGGATGCTCTGAGGGTCGGTGTGGACTTGTTGGGCCAAAGGGCCTGTCTCCACACTGTAGGGATTCTATATATCTATATTATTTACCCACTCATTGCCCTACCCATACAGTCACCTCTGGAATTTCTCAAGTTTCTATCCTTGATCCACTCCTCTCACTTTCAGGTCAGTTTGTAGCAAGGCTATCCAAGGTTATTCAGCCAGCTTCCAAATCTACCCTGATAACACCCAGCATGACCTCTATAGGACCCACACTGCCTGTGCTGTCAAACTGCATACCCAAAAGAGAACTTCAAGTGAACTACAATTTGTTTCAGTTAAACTCTCACAAAACCGAAGCCGTTATTACACCTTGCCACAATCTCCATACATTTTGCCAATGGTTCCATCCCTTTCCCTCACCTGTCTCACACATCTGGAATTAAATTGTTTGAAAACTTTACATTTATTCATTTCCAAACTGAGTTTTCCTGTCTCTAGAAGTTTATTACAAGAGCACTCCCTACACCTTTACCAGAGTTGGCCTCCACTTCGCTTTAGTTCAGCCAGCCACAGACTCAATTATTTTAGATGATCTCATCACTAGCCTCCCATCCCCACCATACTGCACAAACTTTATTTCATCTAAAAATCTTCCGACTGTATCAAACACTTCAAATCCTGCTCACGGATCACTCCTACCCTTGCTGAACTACATTTCCTCACCATCAACTTAAAATTCTTACATTTTGCTGTTTTCTCATGGCCTTATCCCCCTCTAACTTCCTTTAGCTCTACAACTCTTCAAAAATCCATCTTTCAGATACTGGCTATTCTGCATCCTTTCCCACCGTGGCTTTGTCTCATCCTACTAGTCCCTATACTTTAAAAATTCCATCCATGAAGTCTTTTTCCAACAGTATTATTCTCAAAGAACTAACCAAGAACAGACCTCTTTGATTACTACTTATTCAGCTTCTTTTCTGTCCTGGCTTACCAACAGTAATCTCCTTGTCAGCCTATCCCTTTCATATCTCTCTCTCTCTCTCTCTCTCTCTGGGCTTCACCGCCACTTATTTGGTCACTACCTCCTCCTCTTTCCATTCTGCACCATCCCCCCCAACCCCACTCCACCTTGACCATAAATACTACATTTTCCAAGCTGCTAACAGTTCTGACGAAGTGTCACCAGACTCATGTGTTTATCCAGTGATTTGTTTTGTTGGATTTTCTCTTTTTTGGAGATGGCCACCGTCTAGCTTTAGTGACATGCATGTCACTTGGCACTCACCAGTCCAAGCCTGAATGTTATTCACATCTTGCTGCTCAAGTATCAAAGGAGTTCCCAATGGTGAACACTGTACAATCATTAGCAAACATCCACACTTCTGACCTTCTAATAGAGGCAATGTTATTGATAATGTAGCTGAAGCTGGTGAGATATAGAACACTGTGGCAGCAGTTCCTCAGCGTCGTATCCTGAGACTAAAATGATTAGTCTCCAAACACCAGAACCATCTTCCACTATGCGAGGTATGGCTCCAACCAACAGAACGTCTGTCCCTCCAATTCTCAGCGACTTCAATTTTGCTAGCACCACTTGACGTCACCAGTTGAATGCTGCCTTGATGTCAGGAACTGCTTCTAATGCATTTACATCCTTTCTTAAATAAGGAGATCAAAAACGTACACAATATTCTAGACATGGTGTCACTAATGTTCTATATAACTGCAGCGAAACACTTAGTTTTATATTCCATTCTCCTTAAAATAAAAAAAATTCCATTCCCAAAAACAATAATTTAAAACACAACTACCCTCCCAGACTGCATATTATACATACACATATTTGAATACCAGATGGCATATAACGGTATCAAAACCACTAGCTTATCAAATACTCTGATGTCTTCCAGTTTGTCGTTGCATAATCTAAAACTAGCTACTTCATGAACCAGGATCAAAAGCATCCATTAGATTAGAACAGTATTCATAACACACAGATTTCTCTATTACTCAAACTACAGCACACAAAGGAAGTGCACCATTCCTGAAATAGTTTATGAGTTGAACTGACAACTTCCATTAATAGACAGCACCTTTTCGGATCAAAGGCTTCTGCACCACCTTTGGAACCGCCACCTGGTGTCCTCCATGCTAAACGTTCAATGTACTCATCAACGTCAAAAGGTTCCTGGAAAGAAAATAACTCTGTAACAAAACAATTTTGAAGAGTCAAGTACATCTAATTTACATTAATAAAAATAACTGCACAACTGATTAGGATAAATTGGACATTCAATAAAAAGTTTTAGGGCAAAACATTCAGTGAACTTCCATACCAGCAAATATTGATACTTTGATGTTTGTTTCCTATTAATGCAATATTATCAGCCGAACAAGGAGGTTACTTCCACAGAGGTCAATGAATAATGTTCTTCTTACACAAAAGTAGCCTAAATTTATATTGCCTTTGTTGGGGTAACATATCCCAAGGTGCTTCACAGGGGTGCTATTAAACAAAATTTGGCCCTAAACTACATAAGCCAAGTGCAGATGACCAAAAGTCATGTCAAAGCTAGGTATTAAGAAGCATATTAAAAAAGAGGGGGTCCAAGATACAAAGTGTATAGGCCAGGAATTTCAGAGCTAAAATATACACTCAATTTTGGGTAGGTAAATGCAAGTTACTTGTATTCAATAGCGGTGCAGGTGAAAATGTCTGTTTTCATGATTTTAGATAAATTATTTGGGTTCTTCTGACATAGGCATGGCATGAAATTGCCATAGTGATTGCTGTTTCACATTCATCACTTCACCCGAGTATAAGCATGTATATTTTGTACATCAAGGTTATTTTGCACTTTCATTTAAGTTTAACATACAAGCAAAAAAGGAATAATTAACGGCAGCAAATGTAATTTTGCACTAGTCTTCATGCTGTTGCTGCAGCATCTGAATATTACGAGGACAAAATAAATATAAATTATTTTTAAAATGACAATTTATAACTCTGGGCCAAATTTCACTGATTGCGTAATTTTTATGCTTGTACAAAAATTCACTGCAATTTCTAACCACTTCAAATCTTGCTCTCTGAAACCTTTCACAGAGAAGTGCTCAAGTGGCATTGCTATCTCAAGTTTCTCCACTCACTCACTCTAACCTACACCCATTCTCTCAGGCACATACCAACCTAGCATAGCATTGAAACCCTGTTGACAAGATGGATGCTGCAGTTCGCTGACCCAAAATTTACCCAGCACAGGCTGAATGCCAACTCTCTACTTCCCCACCCTGGACCATGACTTGCTGTTCAGTGATGGAGTCATCATTTTAGAGATTTTTTTTAACATTACCTACTCTGAAGATCTTTGCTTCACAGCCTCCAACCTCACTCCCGAGCCCTGATCCCATCACTTTCCCAAACACCACAAGGAGGACTGCCCTGACAGACCTATTGTTTCTGTCCTTGTCCCACAAAACAAATTTTCCTTTCTTGACTGTCTGTTCATTCTTCTCCATCCAGCTTTTGCCTAATTCCACATTTACATATGGCTCTTCTGATGCCCTCTGCTATTTGAACAGTTTTCCAATTTCCCTAACTGTCACTCTCTCACCGTGACATCAAATCACTGGCATAGTTATTGCCCAATAAGACAGTCTGAAAGTCCTCTGCTTTTTCTAAGTACACACATTCATCCAATCACTATCATCACCCAACTTTGCCAAGGTGGACTTGTCCTCACTTTGATTAAATTCTATTTATCTCCAGGCACTTTCTCCAAATACTTTGTACTGTTTTGAGAACATGCATGGGTTACAGGCATGCCTGTATTTTTAATTGGCTATGTGGTATATCTTCTGTTCCAGAACCACTCAGGTCCCCACCTCATCTCAGTTTCCGATGAGTTTTTTCCAATTACCATCCCCTTTTACTTTGTACTCTCTATCTTTTCAGCATTTAGTCTCTCCTGCCTATCACAGATCTTTAACTCTTGTTTCCACTGCTCCATTCCCTGCCTGTGTATATGCATTGGTCACGTCATCATTAACTTGCCCCTTCTGGTGATGCTGACAAGTCTCTCTCAAAAGATGCAGCTCAAGCTATGAATTTTCTTCCCAGTATTTTGCATTTGTCTGTCTGCCTATGCACAAACCAATTTTTGTGTTTAGTAGTTGGAGTAAATTAAGAATTTTATCCTTATTCAATAGAATTATTAAATAACAAACCCAGCACTAAAAACAGCAACAGTTCCTTCCTTCAAAAGTGCAATTAAATTCATGTAGAAAGAAAGTGCAAAAGATTTCAAAACTGTCAGAAATTAGTCAGCCTAGCTTGATCTAGTAAGGTTTAGTTTATGCCACTGGCTAAAACTTGAGCACACAAAGTTATTAGTGCATAAGTCAAGGCTAAGGAGTAAATTGGCAACTTTTCGATAAGACTGTGAATAGAAGAAAATTCTCTATCTTCCATGGATGATATTAAAAATTATTTGGTCATCATCCTGGCTTTTTTCCCCCCTAGGAGATAGCTGGAATGGAAGTGCTTTCACTAAACAAGTCATCAGATTCAATTTTGAAAAATTGTCAGGATGAGAGTTGGATGCGAAGCATCACTATAAATCACTGCAGTCCTTCTGTGACAGAGGAGTTGCAAGTCATTCTAATGCGGTACTCAACCTATAAATTATATAGTTAGTGACGAACTGTCACAATAGACCTTAACATTAAATCACAGAGGCAATCATATTTCTGGCAATATATTCAAAAGACCCCCATTCAAAAGGAGAAAAATTAGCAAATGGTAAAGGCAAATTACTGAAAACTGCAAAATAGTCGGCAAACTATTTCAACTATCCCGGGACTAAATTCAATGTGGAACACATAGAGGATACAAGTTAATTTGTTAAATATATTTTAGGAGAAACTTATTAGCCAGTACTCAACAAAACCAAATACTGAGGGCAGTATTAAACAGCAGTACCACATTCTGAACTTCAGGTTTAGGGAATGAAATTTAAAAGATGGAAGTGCCATCACAGGCAGAGCATTTTAGTGATAGCAATCATTATTTTATGAGCTTTAAAATGGTTATGAAAAACCATAACAAGAGAACAAAGGTAAGATTGGGTAAAGGCAAATTTTACAAATCAGGCATTGGATGTGGCAAACAAAAGAACAAAAAGGGAAGTACAGCACAGGAACAGGCCCTTCAGCCCTCCAAGCCTGTGCCGATCATCATGCCCTAACTAATCTAAGAAGCAAACCTTTTGTCCTTTTCGGTCTGTATCTCTATTCCCTCCTTATTTACACAACTATCCTGGTGCTACTTAAATGTCACCAATGTGCCTGCTTCCACCACCTCTGGCAGTGCGTAACAGGCTCCTAGAACTCCATGTGAAAAACTTCCTTCGCACATCTCCCTCAAGCTTTTCGCCGTCGCACCTTGAACTTCAGCCCTGGGAAAAAGCCTCCGACTATCCACCCTGTCTATGCCTCTCAGTTTTGTAGACCTCTATCAGGTCTCCTCTCAGCCGCTGTCTTTCCAGTGAAAACAATCCTAATCTTTTTAATCTTTCCTCATTGCCAATGCCCTTGAGACCGGGCAACATCCTGGTGAACCTTCTCTGCACTCTCTCCAAAGCTTCTACATCCTTCTGGTAGTGTGGTGACTAAAACTACACACAGTACTCCAAATGCAGCCTAACAACGGTTTTATATAGCTGCAACATGGGGGGTTTGCCAACTCTTGTACTCCATGTGCCAGCCAATGAAGGCAAGCATGCCATATGCCTTCTGAATCACCTTGGCCACCTAGGTTGCCCCTTTTAGGGAACTGTGGACCTACACACCCTGATCCGTCTGAATGTTAATGTTCTTAAGGGTTCTGCCATTTACAGTATAATTCACACCTAAATTCGATCCTCCAAAATGCATCACCTCGCATTTGTCTGGATTAAACTCCATCTGCCACTTCTGTGCCCAAGTCGCCAATCTTTTTCCTGTTGTATCCTTTTACAATCGTTGGCACTATCAGCAACTCCAATCTTCATGTCATCTGCAAATTTGCTAATCAGACCATCCGCATTTTCTTCCAGATCATTTAAATATATTACAAACAGAGGACCTAAGGCTGATCCCTGTGGAACACCAATAGTTACCGGTCTCCATTCTGAAAAACACTCTTCCTCCGTTAACCTCAGTCTTCTACGAAGTGGATTGAAAACAAACAGAGTTGAAGATAAATAAGTTTGACATCTGTCAAAGGTGTTTAGGGAAGAGATAAAGATGGTATAGAACAAATGCGTGCTCATTAAGAAACAGTGGAGAAATCTTGATCATAACAATACTGCCCACTCCTCCATCTTATCAGATGTCAAAGTAGGATAAAGCAAAAAAAAAAGTTTGTTAGATGCCAAGAGCTCCATACCGCAGAAAGGAGAGGGGTATATACAGAGCAGGGATGAAAATTAAAAGGAAATTAGGATGTAAAGAGAGGGCATGAAAAAATATTATTAAGCAAAAATCAAGGGACAACCAAATATTCTTCTTCTGTGCATAAAGAGCAAGTACAATTTGAGACCCAAATGGTAACCTGACTATGGAGTCCCAAAACATGGGCCTGTTCTTAATGGATATTCTAGTACTGTTTTCACAAAAGAGTGTAACAATATAGGTTTTATAGTTAAGGAGCATCGGATAGGATAAACATATTGAGGAGGATAAATTAAGCAATTCAATATCCTGGAAAATGGATAACCAACGGGCCCAGATTACGCACAACACCGGCCAAGAAAAGCAAGAGATGAAATAGTAAAGGTCTGACTATCACTTTCTAATCCACTGGCTAAAGCCTTGATGTCCAAAGATCAAAAAACTGCTAATATTGTCACTGTTTAAAGAGGGAGGAGAGAATAACCAAAGTATTTACAGGTCAATCAGTGTGGGCAAATTATTTTAAAGAAATTAGAAAGGCATGGAATGATCAAGGACAGTCAGTATGGATTCTTCAACTGAATGGTCTTGACAAGGTGGACATGGAATGGATTTTAATCCTGCAGGCAAGTCCAGAATTAAAATTTGGAGATACCCAAATAAGACAGAGATGGGGATTTTATTTTTCTTTCAGTGTGTGGAGGCACTTTGGAACACTGCCACAAAATGCAGCGGAGGTGATATCACTCAATATTT